GGAATGCAACAGATCAAGAGCGAGTGAGACAGTGAGACACACACGTGGGCATGCACACGCGCACACACACACACACACTGAGCCATTGTACAAACAAGGTCTTCCTCACCTCTACCCACTAGTTTTAATTCTGCACAGAAAACACTCTTGACTTAACCACAGTTACCGCTGACAGGCTGCCATTACAAAGGCAGCCATGTCTACAGAGCTATGTTAGAAAAACTGCAAAGTTATAAATAAGGAAATATTTTAAGTTTGAGCATCGGCCCATTGACATTGAACACAGTGGAAGAAAGACAGGAGAGAAATGAAAGTCAGAGAGAGAGCGTAGTGTTGAAGTAGAAGTAGAAAGACAGTAGAGTCAAAGTGGAAGAGCTCTGTACCTGGAGTAAATTTGAAGGTGGTTCAGAAGTTGAGACGTTGGGATTGAGGACCACTTTTGTCCTGGCTTCACTCCACCTGGTTGGGTCAGCGTCTCCCTGGTTCCTCTGACCACCTGCACTGGCTCATCACAGCGTGCCTGGGGCTCCACCTGCCCTTCACCATTCCAAATCACTACGCCGACTGCCTCCGTGGTGACCCCTGAAAACGATACCAGCCCAAAGTGATTCTTCTCGCTGTAGTTAAGACATAAAAAAATAAATAAAAAAATCAGAGGGTGTCGGCAGGGTGAATTGGATTGAGACAAGAGTCAGAGGTGAGGCAGCAGCAAGATTGAAAGGGAATGACTATAAGATGGTTGATCCTGCTCTGTCTAATGTTTGGGAGACAGTGTTTCATGTTTGGGTACTGGCCTCAGGACAAGACAGAGCTGTAGGTGGAACATGAAAGAACCTAAACTGTGATTTGTGATTCACTGTAAAGATCAAATCCTGATGATCAAACCCATAGTTTAGAGTTTTTCAACCTCCGGGGCCATGACCCACATGGGGTCACCTGAAATGTCTAGTAATTACAGATGATAATATTTTTGACCAATTATTATTCTTTTCAACATTGAATAGATTAAAACACCACACACAAATGCAGCATTTTATAATATCTGAGCTGGCCCATTTTGATTGACCGAAACAAATTAGTGAACGTGAAATTTAGTTGAATGTGCGATGAATGGGTGGACCCTGATTTCTCTCTTCTTTAACCGTCACATTTACCATAACTTTTTAAGAGCACTACGCATCCTAGAAGATGATTTCATCCTCAAATGACCAAGCCTGGCCATCACCGATCATCAGTGATGACTCAAATGATGAGTTGCCAAGTGTTGGTGAGAAATTTGGCTTAGGAATATTACATTGTACGCATCACACCCACGTTCTGGCATTTTCAAATGAAGAAAGATAGAAAAATTCTTATCACCACGAGAACAAGATGCAGCTGTAGAACAAATACAAGGATAAAGAATAATAACAGTTACAGTATTTTGTAGTACAAAATAGAAATACTTTTGTGTATTAAGTTGATGAATAAAACATAATTTTAATGCTATAGTTGAATTCAGTGGTGGAGGGATGTCCTTCCTGACACAGCACAGTCAATAGAGATCATAAATCGTGGTGATTGGTGAAATTGAACCCACAAACTATTGCATGATTTGCCGGCCAACACTGTTGGCTCCAGAGCAGGAGATTACATAATCCTCAAAAATGTCAAATTAGGATTTATGGAGCAATAAAAAGCATGATTTGGTTTACGCTTTTAATCAGACAAGTTGTCCTAATCACAACTTGACCAATCAGCTCCGGAGCAGACGCCCGGACTCCACTGACAACTTTATAGAACCTCTTTCCCACTGGCATCTGGTGACATTGAAGTGGATGTGTTGTGTTCCCTCGTCTAATGGAAACACTCCAAAGCAATTCGTCCAGATTGTTTTTCTGCATTTTGTTTTTTTACTTTGCTTCTATTGTATCACTGAAATATTACACACAGGCAGTTCTCTGAATTCGCCACTTATTCAGTTCATTTGCCAAGTGGAGGCTGCCTTTCCTGGTGAAACAGTTTATCCATGAAGAAATACCTCAGCCCCACTGTTCATCGACACTTTGTTGGCTTTCACACTCGTTAAACATTGATTCCACTTTTTCACGTCCTCTGGCACATTCTTAGTTTGGATTCCTCTTCCCCTTTCATCCCCTATAATCTCTTCCTCCAGATATTTTGGGGCGAATCCTGTAGGATTTGAATATATCTCTGTTTTCCCTTCTGACAGGTGAGGTAGCTAACAATCTAATTTAAATGTGTCCCGTGAAAATATTAGACACTTCCTAAATTGTGTTCATGAGATTCTGGGCTGGCAGACTGCACGCTGTGACTCAGCCCTCCATTGAATTCTACTTTATTTTGTTGAACTGTCACCTTGTATTGGATTTGAATACACTGCACTGAATCTTCTTCGATGGAGATAATCCATTGTCTTGAGGAATGTTCCTCAGTATAAATACGCCTTATGTGGATGAGAGATCCTGTAGATGTAGGTCTTTAATAAAATACACTTATATAAGTAAATAAAAGAAAACTAAAGTTGTATTTTTACATGTGTAAGTTAATGATTTTCCCTTTAAAATAAGCATAAAACAAACTAACCTTCCACCCACTCACGACCATCTCTTTCATCATTAACTATTTTATTTAATTTTATTTCTACACTTTATGGTTGGGGCTTTAGCTACTGTTGCCGCAGGTTCTTTGAGAGATGTAATAACATCAGTTGGTAGTTTGTAGTTGGTAGGGGGGTCTTGCTACTGGACAACCAATTATTTGCTTTTTTTTAATGTAACACCATCGTCATGACTACCAGAAAAAATAACATTTTGTATCACATTTTGTATCAAGAGCATATTGTATTTTCTTTATAGCTGCAGTAGAGAAATTACTGGATTCAGACTGAATTGAGTTGTTGATAAATGCTGAATAAAACTCTCAATAAAACACTCATTAGAAATTAGGGTTAGCATTTGACAGAAATAGCAGTTGGGTAATTGCTCAGACAGGATGGTTAAAGTAAGACACAGGTTAAGTTATTATCAAGTCAAGTTATTATTTAAAAACGCTATGAAATTGTCATATACTTTGAATCACATTCAAAACATTGAACTAAATGTGTTATTTACACAATGTAAATTAGCAGCATGTATCTTAAAAATATGTAAGTGTATCTGTATTATTTCGAGAATCTTTATCCTGAAGATATCACAATCCCAGACTTCATCTTGCCGTGGTTCGGGAAAAGTTTCCAATGCACTTTTTTTTTATTTTCAATAATACGCCTACATTTTAACATTAAAAAAAATAGTCAAAGCTGTCAGTGCACTTTGTGTGTGGGAAAAGAAATCAATGAGAAAGCGAAAACAGAAGAATATATTTCATGATGCCATCTGTTGTATCCATGGACACGGGCATAATAATGACACAGGCCAGCAAACA